TACAGGCTCCGCCAGCCTTGGGGGGGGGAAGCGAGACTAATAGAACGGAGGTGTGTATGGCGTGGGGGGGGAGGCCTGGGGTCTGGGCAGCCGTGCTTGTTTATGGAGGGAGTCGTGTGGCAAAAAAAAGGGGGGGTGAAGCAGGCCAAGCGTTCCGAGGTGGAGAGGAAGGGTCAGAGATGACACCCATAAATACCCTCTCTAAGTGAGCTGAAATAAGAAGTGTCAAGGCTGATGGGAGAAGATTTGCAGGGACTGGAGAGTCTGGCAGCCAACGTGGAAGAGATTGCCCTGGGATTTCGCCCTTAAACTCTGGCCTATTTCTGCCCTTTCCAAGTGCAGCCTTTAAAAAACATAATTTAATAAACTCCGTATATCCAAGCAGGTGCGTGTGGGGCTGCGGTCTGGCAGGTGGGGGGGTGTCTATTACGAGTGACTTTCGCCCCCAGCAAATGGAAGCTCCTGGCGGCTGTAAATTGCTTGTCCGAAGGAGATGCACGGACACACACACACACACACACACACACACACACACACACACACGTCTGCCTACACACATATGCACACACACATATATCCAAGCAGGTGCGTGTGGGGCTGCGGTCTGGCAGGTGGGGGGGTGTCTATTACGAGTGACTTTCGCCCCCAGCAAATGGAAGCTCCTGGCGGCTGTAAATTGCTTGTCCGAAGGAGATGCACGGACACACACACACACACACACACACACACACACACACACACACGTGTGCCTACACACATATGCACACACACATGCACACACAGACAGACACATGAGGTCTGTTTGCAAGGTTGGTTGAATGCAGGAACATTTTCGTAGCACCTCTTTTGGGCTCCGTGGCATTCAGCAATAACGAAGGGGACACTATTTCTGAGCATGTGGAGAGCGTTTTCCCATCGCCCCTTGTGTGTCTGTCTCGACGGGTTCCTCGCTGAGGATCCCCCGCTTGCCCAGGGGTGGCAGAAGAGCCCCACAGCCTTGCTCTGTCCAGAGTGAGGGCATCTCCCTTCTATGGGGCTGCGACATCCACTCCACCTCTTTGGGGAATGACACGGCTCACCTCCCTTCGCCGTGGGGCCACCCCACTGGGTTTCCGTGGCATCTCTCTCCCTTGCCTCTTTCTTCCCTCTGGGACTCTTCACGTGGACCGCTGAGCGCTCATCCTGCCTTTCGTCGGGTTTTGATCTGGGTCAGCATGACCCCCCACCTCTCCTCTCTTCCTGATTCCTTGCCAGAGTATTTTTGGCAGCCGGGGGAAAAGCTCTCTGCTGCAGCTGCATTGCTGGACGTGGGGCTTCTGGTTCTTTGGCTTCCCCTCTTCTTCTCTGCCCCACTGCGATGGGTCTGCCCGAGGCATGACGTAGTTTGCAAGGAACATCCTCCTCTCCCTCCCACAGTTGCTTGTCTGCGTCTCTTCCAAGAGAACATCTGTTCCCTGGCTTGATCTGGATCATACCCTATTTATTTATTTATTTATTTATTTATTTATTTATTTATTTATTTATTTATTTATTTATTTATTTATTTATTTATTTATTCATTATTTATTTATTTAACTAACTAACTAACTAACTAACTAACTAACTAACTAACTAACTAACTAACTAACTAACTAACTAACTAACTTATATCCTGCCCATTTAGACCGAACTCTACTCTGGGTGGCTAACAGCGAATACTTCTCAGCCAAGCTTGGAAAAAACAATATCTTTAGGGACTTCAGTCCCCATTATCCCCACCACCAAGAATAGCATCTTCCAAATTCTTCATAGCAAAGGCGGCCGGGTGTGTGTGGACAGGGTCAGTCTGCTTTCTAACCGAGAAGAATAGGTTTTTATAGCCCCTGTGCGTTTGTCCACTAGGGCTGGACAGAACCTCCATATGTAGGAGCACTCTATCCCCAAGTTTCAGTTTTAGCAAAGCAACTGCAGGAGACATTTGGGGAATCCTACCTAGTTTTGAACCAGCCCGGCTCCTCTGGTGGAATAAATGACGACATTGACGAGCCCCAGGGGCAGTTAATTAGAATACTTTCCATTTTTTTTAGCTGCTTCCAATTTAATTTTAGATCTTCCTTAAAACTGGCCCTGCAGCTGGATGC